TATTGGCCCGATTGGTTGCCAAAAATTGGCCCGATTGGTTGCCAATATTGGCCCAATTGGTTGCCAATATTGGCCCGATTGGTTGCCAAAAATTGGCCCGATTGGTTGCCAATATTGGCCCAATTGGTTGCCAATATTGGCCCGATTGGTTGCCAAAAATTGGCCCGATTGGTTGCCAATATTGGCCCAATTGGTTGCCAATATTGGCCCGATTGGTTGCCAAAAATTGGCCCGATTGGTTGCCAATATTATATTGGCCCAACATTTACAATATTAGCCCGACCCCCAGCTTGCACCTTGGCTCCTTGAATGTCAGTGTGGGCTGGGCATATTTGAATGAAAAAGATTGTACAATTATTCTGGTTTCAATAAAAATTCATTAAAAAGTTGAAAATGCATAACAAAACAAGAAAATATATTTAATTTGCTCAGTGTGGCTAGCAGTAGGAAGTAGTTCAATAAGATATATGCCATTGATCCAGTAAAATCTTGATATTTTATTGAACTGCCCAGTAGAAAATGAAATCCATACAAAATAAATGCAATTTAGTATTACAGTTGGCGCAGTTTGTGGCCCTGGGTAGTTCAACAAAATATCACCGACCGCGAAATTAAATACACCCGCGAAATTGTCCATCAAGTGTGAATTCGCAAAAATATATGTACGCGAAAAATATGGTGTATACAGTATGTTCCCCCTTGCGTGATCCTCGTTAATTTTGTAATGCCGCAATAACTCCTCCGGTTGTTCTAAGATTCGATCACTGGATTTTGACGTCGACTGAACTGTCACGTCGTGTGTGGTGCGAGGAAGACATAGATTCGACAACGGAGATGAATTAATTTATGCATCAGCCATCCAACCAACGCGTTTAATCAAAGAAGAAACATCAGACTAAATACACTTACATAGGTGCGCGGATCGGCTCTATAATATAGGTGGACTCATGACACAATAGAACGTGACACAGTAAGGATCCGGCTGAAGGCACGGGCGATCGAGATGAGTCGCGAGGAAAACCAAGCAAAATCGTGAAGGAAATCCATTGAAATCTTAACTAACTAACTAACTCTTGACTAAAATCCGCCAAAACCTTAGCTAAAGTCGCGACTGAAATCCATTTGAAACCTCGTTAAGAATTGGGAAACTGGGAGGCGTAGGCCTGGTTGCTAAACGCCCCGAGACGTGGGAATGCTCCGTGGTCAGCGGAACGAATCATCAGGAGCCTGGATTGACCCTCAGCCGTCTACCGNATTGCGTACACAAGATTTACGCAAAATATTTTGCGTACGCAGCTTGATGAATCATGAATCTGCCCCCTGGACCCCACCCGTCAGTGCAAGCGCACACGGTATCAGAGTCTACAGTTCCCAGGGGCATGTCCAGGGGGTCCGCACCCCCCCCCCCTGCTCGCGCAGAAAACGCATCTGAAAGGGTCTAATTTCAAAAATTAGGTTATCTATCTATTTCTATGGTTTAGACGCATCTCTGTTTAGACGCATGGAGAATTCTTTGGTGCATTTTTGAAAGCTGAGGCATACTCAGGAGACCGAACACTCGCGAGCGCTCGCCTTCTGAACGACACTGCGCGAGCGAGCGCGAGCGAGCGCGCGCGCGCAAACTCGAAAGGCTGTTCCACTGATCACTATAATATAATCTGGATAGCGCTTAGCCTATCCGCGCTTAACATGAAAGTGACGCCACAGCGTCATCTTCCAACCACTCCCAAAAGCTGAATCTGCCGGTCTGTGCCCCACATTTCAAATAAAAAATAAGAAAACGCCACTTATTCTCTTATTCAAATTAGCATGAAAAAAAACTTTTATCCATACTTAAGAGATTATATAAATATGGATATGTATATAGATACATGTATGCAGCTAAATTAAAGAGAAATATACGATATAATAATTTTTCACGTGACGTCACGAGTCACGTGCTAGCTAGTCGCAGCCTATTCTACCAATTATAATAATTCTTGTTACCATTCGTATGAAAACAAACTTTGATGAATGAACACACCTTGATTGAACTACATGAAAGATTAAATATATATATTTATAAGGCATATAGGTAAATATAGCATATAGCAAGGTATAGCATATAGCATATAGCATACATAGGCCTACATATAGCATATATGATAGATGAAACATTATATATATATATTTATAACTAATTAGTCTTATAAATATAAGGGCCAAGGCATTATAATAACCATTATTATAGGTAAATATAGCATATACTATTACTAGTATAGCATATAGCATGCATAGGCCTACATATTGCATATATGATATAGCATAAATACATATATGATATAGTAATTAGCATATACTATATAGCATATATATACTAGCGTATAGCATATACCCCGATAGCACAACAGCATCAGGCCAATATCGGTTAATCTTCGCACCAATATCGGCCCGATTGGTTGCCAATAGCTGCGTTCACACGTATACACGGCCTAGCTGGTACCGTACTTAGTTGGTGCTAAGTCCGGTTAAAATGCGTTCACACGAGATACACGAGATTCGAGGCTTAGCTAGC